CTCTCTCTCTCTCTCTCTCTCTCTCTCTCTCTCTCTCTCTCTCTCTCTCTCTCTGGGTCTGTTTTGTAAACTAAGATGACCTTGAACTCATATCCTTCCGACTTTGTCTTCCTCCAGTGTTTGGATTATAGATGTGTGCCACCATACCCAGCTCCTTCTGTATTTCCTTTTTAAATTTAAAGTGTGTGTGTGTGTGTGTGTGTGTGTGTGTGTGTGTGTGTGTGTGTGTGTGTAGGTCAGAGGACAACTTGCAGCATTGCAAGCTGGACCTGTAGCCAGTCATAATAACAACACCCTGCTCCTCCCCTCCCCTCCCCCCAATCTCCACAGCCATTAAATTGTCAGTCACTAAACTCAGACAGCCCTAATGAGAGACTCTGGCACCACCCGTGTCAAGGCTCAGACTGCTGAAGCAATGAGAGAGGTGGAGCAAGTCCCTGGCTGAGTTCCAGCAGCGCCCTTATCCTGTCCGCTAGTGTGGGAGTCAGTTTTTCCTTCTGCCAGTGGGTCCCGGGAACTGAACTCAGGTTGTCAGGCTTGGTGGCAAACACCTTTACTTGTTGATCCACATTGCTGGCTTTTTGGTGGTCTTTTATGTGCTCAACCCTAGAGCTGTTAGATTTTTTTCTTTATTTGTTTTTTGTTTTGTTTTGTTTTGTTTTTCACCATGGTGGTGACATTTCTTAACACAGAGAACATTATCACGCTCCCTTTGTCTTGGGGGACTTGGGTAGCAGTTTGAGAAACTCCGTCTCTGCCTCCCCACGGGTGGCATCATGGCGTCTGAGATGGATCATGCCCCAACTCCAGCATAAGCCTCTCTATGCCACTTATACCCCTGTGCGCAGACGTGTCCACAACCCTCCTTGTGGTTCTAAAAGTGTCTCCAAGTTTTTTGATTTGGCCTCTGCTACCCCCAGCAATTAAGTGGCATAGACATAGCTGGTAGGAAAGGAGATCTGTGCAGAGGTAGGAAAGAGAGAACGGAGCCCCAGACCTCCGGACGTGAATGGCTGTTCTGGGGCCGAAGGCAGGTACTTCATTCCTGTTGTCTGCGTCACTCAAGTTCATCCCACCCAGTCTAAACACTGGCATTGATTTCAAGGAGGATTTCAAATTATTTATCTCTTCACCCCCCCCCCCCCAGATTTTCCTCAAGTTGCTGGGAATGCCCTGGAAGCCTGAACGCTCCATCCGAGGAGGCTGTTGGATGAACTCAGGACTGGTCCATGTCTGATCTTTCCACTGGTCACATGAATAGCGGTCAGAGACCCATACCTCACTGTCCTGGAGCACTAGAAAGGCTTCAGGGGCAGAGTATGGTGAATTGAGCTACCCTTGGCAAAGATGCAGGCTGATGGGTTTGTCCATCTGTCTAGCTTCCTGTCACTCACCAGCACGGCCTCTGTCCACTGCTATTTATTCCTCCAGGCCTGCTGACGGTGCACCCTACCTCAGCTTCCAGGCGCCGAGGGCTAGTTGTGCAGTGAGAGACATTCCAGCTAAAAATAGAGCTACAGAGGGATCAAAAACACCAGAACTTCCCTGTCTCAAGATGAGCTTGGCAAGGAGCTCAGCGGCAGGGAACCGGAAGGCTTCTGGAAGCACTAAGGGCTTACGAGTTGGGTGAAAGGAGAGATTGGAATACCGAGTTTGCTTCCGTAAGTCCCCTAGGTTAACAAGTTATCTTCAAATGGCAAAGTTTCTCACCTCCACCTGTCCCCAGGGCACCTCCTTTCCTAAATTTCCGGATACTGATGGATGGCTACTGCGCACACTGAAGGCCAGAGGCACACATCAGTTAGCCAAAGTCACACAGGAGAAACCAAACGGAATTAACCATGGGAATATTTGACCCTGACACCCAGCGAGGGCCATGAGTTCAGTAATAATACATCGCATGGAAAGCGCTCTAAGAACTGCACAGGGCTATTATGTAAGTACCAAGATTATTATTAGCCAGCGAGTTGCACAGGTGCAATGGAAGAAGCATGATCTCAGGCTGGCAGCTCAGCCCATGTGAGGCTTTGCTTCCAGCTAGCATTGTGGTCTTAGCCACAGAGCTCCTTCGGTGGGTGCGATAGCTTGCAAGCCCATCCCAGGCTGGGCTCCCACACTCTCATTGTCTTCTGTACTGTACCCCAGCTCCCATCAGGTCTTGTGTAAATCAAGCTACTCTTAAAGACACTGAGCAGACACTTTTTTGTTTGTTTATTTGCTTGATTTTTTTTTTCCTTTTGAGACAGGGTTTCTCTGCGTAGCCTTGGTTGTCCTGGAACTTGCTTTGTAGACCAGCTGGCTTTGAACTCACAAAGATCCTCCGGCCTCTGCCTCCTGATGCTGGGATTAAAGACTTGCATCGTCATGCCTGGTGATCTTGAACTTTTGATCTCTTTGCTGCCTCTCCCCAAGTGCTGAGATTACAATGCCCAGTTTTGTGCAGCACTGGGAACCAAACCCAGGGTTTTGTTCATGCTAGGCCAGCACACTACCTATTGATCAACATCTGTAGCCCATGTATTCTTGGCTCTAAGAAAGACTTCAGTTGGGCGGTGGTTGTACATACCTTTAATCCCAGAACTGGGGAAGCAAAGGCAGGCAGATTTCTGTGAGTTTGAGGCTAGCCTGATCTATAGAGCAAGTTCCAAGACAGTCAGGGCTACACAGGCAAACCCTGTTTCAAAACAAAACAAAACCAAAAATAAAAAAAAAATGACTTCAGTGTCTCTACCTCCTTCTAGGCATTCCCAAGACTCTCAACTTCCCTGGATAATTTTTTTTTTCTGGCTCATAAAGTACTTAACACTGGGTCTGAAGTGTAGAAGTTCTTCAGAGCTTGTCCCATCCCCATTCGGCCCTATTTGCCAGTGTAGGACCTGGTTACCTGCTCCTATAACCGCTGTCACCTTTAACTTACCCTCGGGACTACACCTGGTTGCAGCCCCAACCTCCACAACATCCTTCTGGACCTGAATCTTGCTTGCTCCACCCTTCCTGTCACTAAACAAGCCCGGCTCTGCCAGCTACCTCTGAGACCACAGCTACAAGAATGTCTGACTCTGCCGCGGCCAGGAGCAAATCACCTGTGGTGTTTCCTTTCCATGTCTGTGGGATTTTCTGAGAACTGAGGAGCCTATGTCTAGACTGTGTGGAGCTTCCTGGATGCTGTTGCTAGGCCAAGTAAACACAGTTTGGAGGCTGCTGACCATCCACATAGTAGAACCTTTGTGTGTAGGCCAGAAGAAGGCCCGGCTACCTCTCTGGCTCTGCCCTGCTTCTCCACCCTGCTTGTCATTTGAAAGCTGAAGTGCCTAACAGTCTCTGGGCCACAGTGTAGGGAACCAAGGTATGTTGAGAAGCCTGATTGTGCATGGCCACGAGAGGGCTGTGCTTGAGGGTGGAGGATCATTTGCCCTTAGCCAATAAGAATATTTCTTGCTCATCAGAATAGTGAACCCAGAGCCTCAAAGGCATAAAGGATGCTTGCTGTTTTGGTCCTCCAGAAAGGAAAAGGATCATAAGGCAAGGCTGTCTCCTAGGAAGAGTTCCCATCCCTACAGAGCTGCTTCATCATCACTTGGGAAGGAGCGGTGTAGCGTCTTGGGGTGTTCTCTTCGCTGCTAACTCTTCCGTTTATCCCAGTGTTTCCCTCACTGCCATCCTAGGATGACGGAAAGGCTTCTGGACCAGACTAGGCAGGTTCGCTTATTCTACCTGCTTCTGAGTACTGTTCTCAGAGCAGTGTGATGCGCTGTCTGATTTTTACCTCATCTGGAGGAGAAAAGTGGGGCCATGCTGTAGAGTAACTTTCTGCCAAGTGAGCAAGTGATGGCATGGGAGGGAACCACCATGGAGCGCCAGCTTTGCCCACAAGTCCAGCCCCCTCACCCTCATGTGTCTCTTTCTCCTCTTTCACAGACCCTGTTCTAGCCTCTGATGCAAAGGTGAACAGGGCAGAACTGTTGCCCTCAACAACAAAGATGCAGACAGACCAACAACAAGGAGATATGGGGCTGAGAAAGGATGTGACGGAGGCAAAGCCGGTCCTCCTTCCAGTGAGGGTGTGGAAAGGTATCTCCGAGAAAGGAGTAGCTCCGTTAAATCCCGGGCAGGGAAAAGATGGGGAAGGGAGGTCTCCTGAGCACAATCACAAACAGGAACAGGATGAGGGAGAGCAGAGGAAAACGAGGCAGGGAGAATCTGGGCACCAGAGTTGGGTGGGGAGGTAAGGGATGGGGCCAGCCCCCGTGGCTACCCCGTCACAAGAAGCTTGTGTTCCAGTCTGAGCGAGCGAGCAAGTGGTCCCACATAGAGAGGCTGCACGTGGAAGATGGAAGATAACAGGAAGGAGACCAAAGGCAGGTGCTTGCAGGGCGTGAGCCAACCAAGGGGTGACAGTGGAGAAGCCCGCACATGCAGCCAGGAGAGGGGGAGAAAAGGGATCTGGAGATAAAACTGCTGGAATTACTGATGAAGCCTGTGTAGGCGTGAGGGACAGAGCAGAACCAAAAATGGTGCCCGACTTCTGTTATGGACAGTAGGACACGGGAAGTACTTTCTGGGTTGGGGAAGGTTGGAAGAGTGGGTGGGACAGATGGGATGAGGGGAATGGTATTTCCTCAGTTATGAAAGTTTGAAATGTCTCATAGACACCCTAGTTGAGATGCAGTAGAGAAAGTTGAATATACACCCGAGCCTAGAGGTCAAAGGAGGAAACAAAGACAGGCACGTGGGAGGGAGTGCCCAGGTAGAGATGGCAGTTGAAGTCACAAGGTTGGATCAAATTAGAGGAAACGCAGAACGGGAAGAGACCAAAGGGGAACACTGTGCTATCTCCTCTGTGTGAGCTGGCCTTCATCCATGAAGGAGGATCACCCCTGTTGCTCCAGGGGAGACACTGGTGTGAACTGCAGATGGGGTAGAGCAATGTCAGAAAGTTCCCTGACTAAAGTGAATGGGGGAAGGGCGAGAAACCCCAAATGTTCCGCATGACTTGTGTGTGGTGTCCCTCATCCCTCTAGGTGATTCTTTCATCCATTCTCTCTTGAGCATCCCCAGATGCTGTCAAATGCATTGTGGGAACAAGTGATGACTTCAAGCTGTGAACAGCCTGCTCTAGGGGAAAATGGAAGGCGGAGGTGAAGAACAATAACAAATCCTTGAGATAGAAGAGTAGAAATGGGTACGTGAGAACAAATAGTCCTTTCACACAGACCAAAAAAGTCCCAAACATCTCCAACCTACCCACTTGTAAGATTCAAGGACCTGAAAATAGAAGTTCCTTGGCCTCTGCAACTCCCTTGGAGGGAAAACCCAGAAAAAAATACTCAACCTACCAAAGGAGCCCTAGGCATTGGCAAGGGGCGGGTCCTTCTTTGGATCTTTCTGGGCTTTCCATTTTATCTGGGACTTGGTGTTGCAGCCCAGTGACCTGGAGGGGGGGTTACTATGGGGCACAGTCCTGGGTGCCTAAGGGCAGGAGTCCTGGGGAGTCTTCTAGGTGGGGACCAGCAGGTATAAAAGCAGGAACATACAGAGGGTTAGAGTGTGGGTGAATGCCCAGGTAACCGTGACGGATAACAGAGGAAACAGAAAGCTCTATGACAATGCTTGGAGCTTAGCAATGTAATCTGAGAAAAATGTCTTCTGAAAAGCCTGTGAGCTATGGTACAAGCGCAAGGAAAGGAATTATTTAGGTCTAGAAAGGCAGAGGGACGATGGATGAGAACAATACATTCGGAGCCAGATGCAGGCGCTGGTTGCATTCGATGTGCAGGGGCCTCTGCTGCATCTTCAATGTCTACAAGGTCCATGTGTTTGAGGTTTGGTTTCCAGCCTGCTATTGAGAGGGGGTGAAACCTTTGAGAAGCTGGGTCTAGTGGTAGAGCGTTAAGTCACTGGGGACATGCTGTAGCAGGGAACATTGTGACCCCGACCGCTCTTCTCTCTTTGCATCCTAGCTGCCGTGAGTTGAGCAAGTCTCCTCTCCTGAACACTCACCCTATGATGTATTATTATGCTACCACAGGCCCAAAGCGGAAAGACCAACTGGCCCTGGAAACCTCAGAAACCACCCACCTAAAAAAACCTTTCATACTCTAAAGTTAATTTAACTTGGGTATTTGTTAATACAGCAATGGAAAGCTGACCAACAGTACCTTGAGCCTCAGTTTCCTGTTTTGTAAGTGAGGTTATTAATACCCACCAGCCTTTGCGACAACACAGTTTGCAACTTGTGTCCTGGTTCTTGGTGGCTGTACCACCCACCCCTCATGAATAGCAAGAATCAGACTGTTACCCACAGAGTATCCACTCGTTTGGGAATGAGTCTTGTGTTCCAGGCAGGGTGTAGTGACAGTTTTACTACACTGTGTGGGGCACAGGTTGACTGAGTGCAAATACTAGCCCCACGTTTTCCATTCTGTGGCCCTAGAAGTTAACTGTAGGGAGCGAGTGAAGCCCTGGGCCAGTGGAGACCTGAGTGAATGTGTACTGTGTGACATGAGCTGGCCATGTCAAGGATCAAGGCCTCTGACTCACAGGGAATTGTCAGAGCTTTTCCCATTTGGGTCAGGCTTGGATTGAGCCAAAGCTTTCTTCTGGCCCAGTGTGAGTGTTTATGAAAGAGTGATTGGTGTGTGCAAAAGCTACAGCTGCAGCTTCCTCATCCTGGAAGCTTACAGTTGGAGACTGCGCCCCTGCAAACACATCCTACTGAGACTAGCTAACCCCCCTCCCAGCCCCATGCTATACATAATAAACATACTGATGTCCTGGTTTGTAGCGGTATTGGTATCACTCCATCAGTGTCTGCACAGCCCACCTGCCCCCAGCTTTTTGGGGTGTCTGTCCTTTCTCCATTTCCTCCATACCCCTAGTCAGGTCAAATCCAGCTACACTGGATGCAGTGGTTACCAAACTTTGTGTCCCAGGATCCCAATCTGTATAAAGGGAATTATTATGATAGTACTATGTTATAGAACCATTGGCAAGACTTAATGAGTTATGCATGTACAATGCTTAGAATAGAACTTGGCACACAGGAAGGGTTCAACAATTGTTCCCTATTGCTGAATGTTGGTTATGAGGCTAGCAGTTTGCGCAAATGGCTAAGAGATGTTCAGAGTTAGGCCCAATCTTCCGTTACTCTTCTATCCCCTCTGCAGTCCAGAGGGCTCAGCTAAGACATATTCTTCCCTTATGAGTGGGACATCCTGTGCCAACCATTATGATGGGCCACTTTATTACCAAGATGGGTGTCTAGTAGATACCTCATCCTTTCCTCATTTACCATCTCCAGGAATACTTCACAGAAATCCTAAACATATATCCGAGCTGCGTGATCCCTAAGTCAATCAAAGCACTTGAATCAAAGTATCAGGTTCATGCCCACTACCCAGGGAATGGAGAAGAAGATTGTAACAGTTACACCATGCAATAATATTCGCCTATAAAGGGAATGAAATTAGGAGCTTCTGAGATGGCTCCGCAGGTAAAATGCTTGTGGAGCAATCCTGGTAAGCTTAGGGAGCTCAACTCCTAAGAGACACGGAGAGGTGGAAGGAGAGAACTGCCTCTACAAGGTTGTCCTGAACTTCACACGTGCTCCGTAGCACACGCAGCCCCTTCTGTCACACACAGTAATTCTTTAAAAGGAGAATGAAATATTGATACACATGCAACATAGATAATTACACCAACATCACACTAGACAGGAAGCCCTAAATACCACTTATCACTTGTCCAGAGCAGGCAAACCTAGAGAGCAGAAAGAGAATTGACGGTTGCCCAGAGGGGATGGGAGGACAGACGACAGGGTGATGTAGCCATATAAGTTTCTTCTTTTGAAGATGACAATGAAAGTGCTCTAATGTTGACTGATGATGGCTGTACACATCTACGGATGTAATACAGATTGTTTCACCCCCTCCCCCACTTTTGAGACAGGGTCTCACTCTTTGTAGCATGGGCTGATATCAAACTTACAGCCACCCTCCTACCTCAGCCTCCCAAGTGCTGGGATTAAGGGCATGAGCCAACATGCCCCTTCTAATTGCCTGTAATATTTTATTTATTTATTTTGCAAAAAGGGTTTCTCTCTGCAACAGTTCTGGCTGTCCTGGAACTTACTCTGCAGACTAGACTGGCCTCAAACTCACAGAGATCCACCTGCTTCTACCTCAAAAGTGCTTGGGTTAAAGGTGTGCACTACCATACCCAGTGCCCATTGATTTTTTTAAACTTATTTTTACTGAATGCATGTGTGTGTGTGTGTGTCTGTGTGTGTATCTGTGCACTCTCGCACAGGTGTCACGGTGTACAACTGAAGATTAATTTCTTTCCTTCCACTAAGTGGGTCCCAGGAGTTAAACTCAAGTTGTCAGACTTGGAGGCCTTTGCCCACCGCACCCCACCCCTGCCATCTTGCCAGCACTAATTGTCCACTTTAAATAGATGAATTGTTTAGTGTGTTATTTATATCTCAATCAAATTATTACTTTAAAAGACAACAAATCCTTACACCCAGCCTAAAGGGTCTAATCGAGAGAAAACTGAATTTGCCTGCACAGTCCTGACCTTTCCCTGAGCTCTGGAGTCTCCATTGACAGGATTCTCCCGTTCCCAGCCTGCCTCGTTGCTGCGGGCACATCTGAGGAGTGCCCTGCAGTCAGCTGCTGGGGGAAGGAGCTGAGGAGACGGTTATAAAATAGCTACCAATCCCCAGAGGTCTTCAAGGTCAGAATGAGTTTGCTGCAAGAACCAGCACGGGGCCTTGTACTCAGTCAGGCAGGGACTGAGTCTCAGGGCATCAGTTGTGTGCCTAACAAAGGTGAAGTTTGGGGGTTACAGGGTAAACTTTATGGAGTTGGAGCTCAAGGAGCTCCCGGTTTACCTGAATGCGTGGTTGGTGGTAGAAAATACCATGATGAGAAGGGCCATTCTGTGCTGGGTGGCCTCACCCAGAAGCATGGGGAAGAAGCACCAGGGACAACCTCACAGAGGAAGTGATGAGCATGTCACAGCTGTCGCAGCCTCTGATGGGTTCCCTGGGTGATGGGCTCGGTCCTCTAGTCCCCGCTCAGTGCACGAGAAGGGCTAAGTGAGAGCTGCCACAAGGAACACGGGGTGCAGAACTCAGTTCACTCCTTAGGCTGGCGTGGGCTGAAATGTTAGGGGATCTGCTGTTCAGTCTCAAGGCAGACACCGCAACAATGGATAGTCTTTCTGTTTTGAAGATGTCTTTTTGTTGTTTAAATTATGTGTATGCATATGCCTGCAGAGAGGCCAGAAGACAGTGTTGGGTCTCTCACAACAAGAGTGAGAGGCAGTTGTGAGTCACCCAATTTGGGTGTTGGGAACCAAACTTGGGTCTTCTGCAAGAGTTGTATGCGTTCAGTTATTTGTTTAGTTTCTGAGACAGGGTTTCTCTGTGTAGCCTTGGCTGTCCTGGATCTTACTCTGTGGACCAGGCTGACCTCGAACTTAGAGATCCACCTGCCTCTGCCTCCCTAATGCTGGGATTAAAGGTGTGCACCACCACTGCTGTATCTGCTCTTAATCCCTGAGCCATCCCTCCATCCATCTATCAATGCTGGAGATTTCGATTTGTTTGGGGGATGCTGGGCAGCGGGAGGTAATTTGCTTCACTCTTTGAAGGCAGTACCACTAAGAAGATACATGTGTTGTCACTGTTTCCCTCCTTCCTCATCCTGGTTATGACCTCATTTCTCTGATTTGGACCATTTCTGTTATTTCCTGTGTATTCCTCCCACCTACTGCCGGGAGCTCTGGGAGGCCTGCTGTCGTGGCTGAGGAGAGCCTTCGGGCTATCCTCATTTCTAGGATATCCTCATTTCTCTTGGAGCTTCCTCTTTCTAGACGACTCTGGCCGAGTCACACGAGTTCCTGAAGCCCCAGCCCCTGCACCTATGACATCAGAATGACCCCTGGTTTGCCTTGTACACTAGATGGTCACAAGACTCTGAGGACACAGCGAACAAGGGAGCACAGAGGAGGAGAAGAGCACAGCTGGACAGGATGAGGATGGCTGCACCTCTGGAAGCAAGCGTTGAAGTACCACAAACAGGCCCGCCAGCAGGACAGGCGGAGTAATGGTCCCCTGACCCCATCACACACATCTACATCCTAGTCCCTGGAAGCTGTCACGTCACTACGTAAGGTCACATGGTAAATGGCAGACTAAGTAAATGGTGAAAATAAAGTTGTCTATCGGCTGATCTTAAAATGGGGGAATATTCTGTATGGTTTGGGTGGGCCATGTGTAACCACACAATCCCTACAGGAAGGAGGAGAGCAGGGGAAAGTCAGAGTCAGTGACTGGAGCCGAGAGTCCGCCCGCTGTTGTTGCCTTTGGAAGGAAAGGACCACAAGTTAACAAATGCAGGCACACCGTGAACACAGTGGGAGGGGTGGTCCTGGTGGGTGGAGACTGAGAGGGTCAGGAACGGGGTGGGGGAGATGGCAAGGGGAGAAGCATCGAGTTGAGGGTCTCTGATGACACAACCGTGGGAACACACAGCAGACTCTGGCTCTGAGGCATCCCAAACCATGGCTGGAGCAGGAGGGGAAGGTGGGAGGTGCAGGGTAGAGCCAAGAGGCTTCTGGGTAGACAAGAGTGTTGTTGACAGGAGAGGCCCAGGAAGAGAGACAGGGCTGAGGAAAAGAAGTTAGAGAAGGTGCCACAGGATGAGCGCCCAGAAAGGGTGAGGCGGAGCACACAGACCCACAGCACCAGCGTGGGAGGGAGGGAGTCAGCCTCCAGGGGCTGGATCTTAACTTGTACTACGGGGTGACAGCAGAGATTTCAGAAAAGCAGGAATGAAGGGACACAGACCATGGTCAGCAAAGCATTGCTATGAATGCAGGCCGACACAAAATTACTTAAAACATTATCAGGTTTTTGGTTGTTTTGCTTTGTTTTTAATTCGTTTGCCCAGCTCTTGACTGTGAACTTTGTGGATGGCAACATCACATCCCAGAGTCAAAAGGTCAGATGCACCTGATTCCTAGACAACTCATTCACCTTCATCAACAAGTGAATACACAATCCGTCTCTTCCCAAAGTCTGTTCAAAACCTCCCAGCCCTGGGATATGCTTGCCCTGTTAAAGCACTAATATACTTGACCACCGGAGAGTCCCTCTCACTGTAAGCCTGAAGATTTTTGGGCAGCCACCTAGAGAGACCCACAAAAACCCTTCTCTGGGGATCACAGTAGTAACAGTGTATCTGAGGCCGGTGACATTTATTCTGCTGACCACAGCAGAAGGAGGAGACTACTAAGATTAGAACAAATTTCCCAAGGACCTGGCCTGCCTGCCAGTCAGCTGCTGCCTCTCCTGTTACAGCAGCGTCCTCTTGGCTCCCTGAGGGATGGAGCCAGCACAGCCATGAGTGGAAGTTTCATTTGGGGGCTCTCAGGATGTCCCATGCTTGGGGTGCCCACAGGAGTATGTGTTGCTGAGCCTTGGAGTACTTACTGTTGAGTGTCTCACAAGGACGGATTGGGGAGGGGACTAACTCTTAAGATATCTTTCTTGCCCAGCGATGGTGGTGCACGCCTTTAATCCCAGCACTTGGGAGGCAGAGGCAGGAGGATCTCTGTGGGTTCGAGACCAGCCTGGTCTACAGAGCTAGTGCCAGGACAGGCTCCAAAGCCACAGAGCTGTGGACCCAGCTCATAGGCAGAAGAACCCATTGGTAATGCCAGTAGCTACAGTGCCCTGAGCACCTTCCAAATGCCAGCCCGTCTACAGATATGGCTTCAAAGACCTTATGTAACACGAAGATTTGATTGACTAGAAGGAGAAACACTAGCTTCCCATGTCTAGGGAAACTGAGGCAGAGAGTCATTGACAGGTTATACTCCCTGAGCAAGGACAGCAATGCTCCTTGGAGTCCCTTTGGGGAATGTGCACAGAATTCTGTCTCATAGATGAGTGGTTTCTTATTGGCTATAATAAGAAGATAGGACAAGGGCTGGTGTGAAAAGTACAGGACAGGCAAAGCCAGGGCCCAGCTAAAGGCTTGTCTGTGGCAGCCAGGAAGCCTAGGCTCAGGCCACTGGGCGCGAGTGAGCAGAAGGGAGGACGCTAACCCTTTTCCCCCATCAGTCACTACCTATCTGCTGCGATGGTCTTACAAAACACGACGATTTGATTAAATTGCCTACTATAAATTAAATTGTCACGGTTCCCTGAAAATTCCAGATAAGAAGCTCCCCCTCTAGCAAGGCACAGACAAAGTCTGTTTGCAAACATGGAGAAAAACGTCTCGTGCGCTGAGCCCACGTGGTCCTGGTTTGTTCTTGGAAGTAACGCATGTAGAACTTGCCCAGTATAGACACAGAAGACGCTAACAGAAGACTAAACACTTAATTGTTTTAAATAAACAACTGAATTCACCAGCCTGTCCCACGACAGTGACCAAACGCTGTCTAGCACCGGAGTGCTGGGCCTATGCATACAGAGACCTTGCCTGGTAAACCGACACCGAGCCTCCCCCAAACCCAGCCTGGGCACTTACACAAACTCCAGCGGCAGCGAGGCAGCTCTCATCTCTCTGCCAAACGTGGGCAGAAGTAGATGTTCCTCCTTTGTCCTACCTTGTCTTACACGCATGCCTTCATGCTTCTGGGAGCCTGTGCCCTGCACCGCAGAGTGCTCAGGGGGTGCCAAGAAATAGTTCCTTCCATATTGGAGGCTACTGTGGGAGAGGCCCACTCAACAGCGACCGTTCTTTTAACTTGTTTATAGTTATCAGGGCAAAAATGCCGCAGAGGGGAAGGGTGAGGAAAGCACATGAGAAAGAAGCCTGATACAAGTTGTGACATTTAAGATAAGTAGTAGCGGTGTAGACAAGGTGAGTGATGTGTGTACGTGTGTGTGTGTGTGTGTGTGTGTGTGCGCCCGTGTGCGTGTGTGAGTGCGTGCATACGTGAGTGTGAAGAGGTGCTGGGGGACCTGGGGAGCTTGCGTAACTAGAACTAAGGGGAACTTTAAGACACAGCTCTGTGAGAGTCTCTTCTGCTGTCAGCCCCGAGAACGGAAACACTGTAGTTAGTGCCCAGCCTCTAGTGGGTTGCCTGGCTCATAGGATGTACCTCGTACGTGCCTGCCAATGAAGAATGAAGAAATAGATCCATGCCTCAGCGAATCGACACCAGCGGACCAACATTCTGAAAGCCTGATAAACACAGACCAGGACCTTATAGCGAAAGAGGAGAGAGACCATCAGCCAAGGACGGCTCTGAGCAAACTGATTGGCACATTCTCGTTAAATGGCGGCGGCTCATTGGGGTCCCTGAAATAGTAACAGGAGGACAGAGGGGGGATGTTCCCTGATCAATCCGTTACTTAACAACTGGAGCCCCTGTGTCTACATGGAGCTAAGAAATCCATTACAATCGCATATTCCTTCCCTGGGTGTTGTCTTCTCTGGTTTTAATAACCCACTCTATGCTAGAACAGGGCATTTCTTCAGAAGACTTAACATCTCCAGCGAAGTGCTTGAACATTCTGTGAGCTCTTTTATATATTTCGTACCCATTTCATCAAGGAGTGAACTGGGGAAAAGGAGGGTTTGGATCCCTTACTAAGGAAGAGCAGTGTCTGCCCCAGGGGCTGAAGAGCTGAGATCTGCCAGCCCCACGCATATGTTATATTGCTCGCTCGCAGGAAACCCAGACTCAAGAAGTGAACCCCAGTAGTGAACCCAGAAAGAGCCCCAACCCGAGAAGTAATGCTCATGAGAGCTAAGACACAGATAAACCAGCCTCCTGTAGCTACATCTGAACCCTGCCTTCCTTCCTTTCTCCCTCCCTCCCTCCCTCCCTCCCTCCCTCCCTCCCTCCCTCCCTTCCTTTCTCTCTTCCATCCTCCCTCCCTCTCTCCCTCTCTTCCTTCCTTCTTTCCTCCTTCCCTTCCTCCTTCCTCCCTCCCTCCCTCTCCTTTCCTCTCTCTCTCTCAACCAACAGTGGATCAGTGGGTAATCTAGGCAATGCTTTATGCCATCACCCTCCAGCACACCCCACATTTTCTAACTGTCTGGGTGGTACCCAGGATGGTCACAGAGGTGGCTTTCCCAGGAGAGAACTTTCAGCCTAGTTCTCACACAGAGGACGGGGAATTGAAAATGACCTTCTGCATCCCCTCAGAAAGCAGAGAGTAGAGGGTTTCATTTTCACGAGGGTCAGGATGGTGCTGGCAGTGAGGTCAGACTGGCCTCACTGTGTATCTAAGACCCTTGTGACTATTAAATGAAATAATGTGCATGAGGGATTAAAAACCCAATATTAAAAGCCATCTCCTCCCCCAATTTATTGTTCCTATTTTAGATTGGTTTTACTTACTATGACCCTGAAGTGTTTATTATCTGCTTGGCAACTTTGAGCACGGACTTCTGTAAGTTTATGGTCATGGTTTTGACAACTGAGATTTAAGAAAATATTCCTGTAGAGTCTTGAATAAACAACATTTTTTTTTCTAGAAACCAGGAAGAATTCTTGAAAAATAAAAAGCAGTCGATTAACACAATAAGGGTTCACAGGGAGGTAAGCCATATCCCCTGTGCTGTTTAAGTTGACAGCCCACTTGGAGAAATGTGGAGCAAACGGAAAGACCAGCACAGTAAGAAGATGGCGGAACAGAGGCTGAAACCACGATGGGCAGAATTAAAGGCTGGAAAACCAAACAAGCTAGAGAAACTGGGCGACGGGGCAGTGAGGTGGCTCGGTGGGTAAAAACCCCGCCATGGCAGCCTCACGACTTGACTTTGATCCCAGAACCCACATGAGAAAGCTGCTTGTGTGAGCCTGAAAAGATGGCTCAGGGGTTGAGAGTGCCCACTGCCCTTCCAGGGCCCACATTGGTGACTTACAACTGCTTGGGATCCAGCACCCTCTTCTGGCCCCTGTACATACCTGCAGACACAGACACACATGCATACACATAAATGAAGATTTTAGAAAACTTTTTAAAAAAAAAACAAAAACAAAAACAAAACCTGGATGTGCCCGTGTGCATCCGCAGTCCCAGCATGCCTGTCCTGAGATGAGAGGTGGCAACAGGAGAGGCTGCCTGGGAGTTTGCAGGTCAGCTGGCTTAGGGCATTCAACATGGCAGACTCAAGAACATCTGCAGGTGGAAAGAGAGGTCAGACTCCCGAACCCAGGAAGAGGAGGTGGGGAGAGGATGAGGTGAGGGACAGAGCTGTGGGAACAAAAGTCTGATGCTTACTCTTCCATGACTGTGGGAACTCTCAGGGTCTTCTCTGTAAAGAGGAGATAGCAATTCTTACCAGCATAGGCTTGCACAACAGTCAAATGAGGGCTCAGAGACTGAATGCACACTGCTCTTGCAGAGGACCTGGGGTTCAGTTCCCAGTACCCCATGGCAGCTCCCAACAGTCTATAATTCCAGTTCCAAGGAATTCAACACCCTCTTCTGGGCTCTGAGGGTACTGCATGTACACAGTACACAGACAAACACGGGCAGAACACTCATGCACATAAAATAAACATAAATAAATCTTTTTCTTAAAAAAAGGAAATCAAATGAGAGGATGTGTGCAAAGTATTTGTCAGACTAAGTATCCTATAAATGCAAGATTTTAAACACGAAGCCAAAATATTTGGAAGCTATCTT